TTCACCAGAGACACATGAGAAGAGGAAGATAGCAACCGCACAATTAGCACATAAAAATGTTACTATATTTGGTACATGAAAAACATAACATTACACAAGAAGCACAACACAAAAAGCAAACACAATGAAGCAAACAAACCGTATCAAATTATATGGGAAAGAGCTCTTGGTCTTACCTATGTTTAAACTCTTTATTTCTTTATAGAAAGGGAACAGAAGGGAAAAAAAAGAACAAACAGTTAGCTGAAGAATAGATGGTAAAGCAAACATAGCATTTTGGTTTTTTTACAAAAGGACACAGGAGAGGGAATCTCTTTGCAGCTCTAGCCTTAGATTGGAGAGGGATGAAGCATGCCAGGAGGTGTTATAATCGCAAGATAGTTCCCTGCTGTGATACCCCCCTTTAAGGCATATTTTGTAAGAAACTTTCTGGATCACTGAAACAATCATAATGTGGAAAAATATGCAGCTTGTGTGCTGAGAGGGAAAGAAGTTGGCAGTTTTCTGCATAGTAAAATGGGCTTCACAGAGAGGTGCAGTTAGTACACAGTGAAACTGGCATTCAGACGACAATTCTAGTTGTTGAAAGTGGCCACTTTAAGTTGCCCAAATGCAGTTTCCAAGATGACTTGAAAAAATCTTTAAACCACTGGTTTCCAGACTTTTTGCACCCAGTGGGCCACTGCCAAACCTCAAAATGTCATGCACCCTTATCATCAAACTTCTAATTTAAAAAAATGGAGCAGGGGGGAGGAATGACCACTTACCATGACCTCACAAACCACCAGTGGTCACCAGACTACAAGTTGAGAACCACTGCTTTAGACCAATTCTACTAAGCAACTGATGTTCTTTTTCCCTGGTCCCTGTAGTAGTTGCTTAAAATAGGCTTGGCTCTGTGTACAGCTATTTATGGAGAATGTATTCATGCCAATCAAAGCAATTCTTAAATTAGTGCTATTTTATAACTGAGCAATATGGTGCTGTACAACGTGAGCTGGGTTGTATTTAATTGAAGCCTAGCATGCAGTCTAGGCATGAGGCCAAACAGGCAAGTGCCCTCTCCATTTCTAATGTGGATTAATACAGTTTTTGCTCTGGAGTGTTTCATTGTGTTTATACAATTTTGTTTAAAAATGTACAGTTAATGGAAAGATGATGTGCATAACTCCTGAGCTGCAGCTCTCACAGCACAGAATGAAGCTTGGAACTTGCAAGGTTCAGTACAAATTGTGGCATGTGACAGTATTATTAGCCAGTCAGGCAGCTGGTATCTTGAGCCAATTTCATGCCACTTAGTGCAAGGGGAATAGCATGCATGTTTCTGTTCTCATTTACAGCTTACGATAGAGTAACCCCACTGACTTCCATAGTTATGATTTGTACTGGTATATAAGAGACCAGAGTGATATCCATTATCTGCTGTAAATGAAGGAATACATTTACTTTTTATTATTTATGGAAACAGCATTTGCAATTTTATTAAAGCTTTAATGTTAGCTTGGGGTTCCAGTCTTGTTCATTCCTAAGGGCTCAATTCTTCAAACCCTTACTCATGTAAATTCCAGAGGTTTTTATGGGAACCTTCTTCTGAGTGTGAATGGCTTCTGTGACTAATATTTGTAGGACAGGACCCAGACTCTTTCTGAGAAAAAGAGAAGTCTGAGAGGGGAATGGTAGGAGCATACCGCTACATCAGGAGTACATTATGGGCTCAGTGAACAACTGTTCACCAGGGCACACTCGGGGAATACCAGGAGTAATGGCCACAAACGCCTGAAAGACCATTTCAGGCTCAACATTCGGAAAAACTTCTTCACAGTTAGGGTGCCCAGACTGTGAAATAAGCTCCCTCTAGAGGTGGTACAATAGCCTACTAGGGGTGAGAAGCTTCGGGTGCTGATTTGATTTGGAGGAGATTTGGCCTGATTTGGTGGCCAAATCTCCAAATCCAAATCAAATCAGGGGACCAATTAAAAGATCTGAATCAATTAGAAGCTCTCTGAATCAATCTGAAAAAGATTCAGAGAGCTTTGGCAATTTGGGCAGTCCCCAGCCACAGCAGGGAGCTGGACCCAGACTCTGAGCTGCTAAGTAGGGGGCAGGAAAGGCGGGGACTGGAGAAAGGGGGAGGAGACCATGGGGGGATCCTTGCAAGGCTCCAATCCCTGCCTGCTCCCCCAGCCCTCCTGAGAGCACCCCAGCCCCCGCCTGGCCCCAGCTCCCAGTTGTTTAAAGCAAAGCCCCCACTCACTGGTTGCTGCCAGGCAGGGGGGCAATCCCCGCTGCCCTCCACTGCCCCAC